TGAGTGCAGGAAAAAATCCCTCTAGCTTCAATGACCGTACTTGTAGGTCTAAACTTTGCAGCCCTCCACCTGCAACTGGTGGCATCTCATTACTAGTGAAATTTTCTTGGAAGGGACACTAATCAAACAAACAAAATAAGTGTTTGAAATTTTTTATGCACCCGGATCGATTTCGAGATCATGGGTGCATACTGTTTTTGTCCTGTCTGTCTGTTTGTCTGTATAATCTGTCTGTTGTCAACTTTAACCTTCGCCATAACTTTTGAACCGTGAGAGATAGAGACTTCATATTTGGTATGCCTACTCCATTGATATACGTTTTTTCAAATGACACCAAGGTCAATAACCTTGTGACCCATATGGTAAACATAGCTTTTTCGATCCTTCGCCATAAATTTTGAATCATAGGAGAAAGAGACTTCATATTTGGTACGCACACTCCACTAAATAAACTCTTACAAATGACACCAAGGTCATTGACCTTTTGACCTTGACTGTGACCTATATGTTAAAAATAGCTTTTTTGAATTTTGCTGCCACCGGACGCATATAAAGTGTTTCACAAACACATCTTGTTTTAAAACGCGTGAAATAAAAGTTGAAAGTATCAAGTTAGCACTATGACACATATGATTTATTAAAGATAAAATCAAAACTCTCTCACTTTTCAGATTTTTTTTTTTGATAGACGTTTGCCTCACTTGCCTGGGCAAGGCAGGTTGCGCTAAAACTTACACGCCTGCATATTGTTGTAGAAGAAAGACAATTTAAATGCTTAATTTGAATAAAATTCCCATTTGAATAATATGATATATAAACATGAAGGGTCTAACATGTAGGTTGTTTATGTATCTTGTAATTTGTATATTTTTTTTTAATTAATAGTCCTGCAGCTGACTTTAAATTGTCAGTACATGTATTTATTATATGCTTCAGGTTTACGCATTACTCTTAGGCCTGAATGTAGAAAGGTTCCTATTAATTCATGGCCTTCTTGATTACATGTCTGAAATAATAAGCTGCACGTTAAGAATCCGTGATAAGTGCTATTTAATGCATTTTTGAATATGGAGCACAGGTACTTAATTGTGGAGAGGACCCCCCCCCCCCCCTCCTTATATACACCCAAGGTCAAAATAAATTTTTCTTTTTCTTTATCATGTATTATTTTTTTAGAGAACTTACTTACAATATATTCCATATGAAAAAAAAACCGTATAGAATTAACACTTAAAAAAGTCATACTAGCTCTTTTTTATAATACCCACGGGTATGTTTGTGTGTGTGTGTGTGTGTGTGTGTGTGTGTGTGTGTGTGTGTGTGTTTTTGTTTTTTTGTTTTTTTTTTTGCAATAAAGCGCTTAAAACCACGGGTGTTATAGTGTTCAAATGTTACCTCTTTCTACTGCTTCTACTGCAGACATTTTAAATGTGAAATTTTTATGCAAATTATAATTTTTAAGACTTAAGTAATAAAAACAACACGATAAAAAATGAATAATTATACCAAGGAAAAGTAAAGTAAACAAGCGTAGCATTTTTTCCAGAAAATTAAAAATTAGGCTTGCCAAATATTCAAAAAATATATTTTTAGAGTTTTGTTTGCATTGAAAGGCACCATTTTAAGGTGTGTATTCATTGACCAATCAGAGAGCTTGATAATGAAAGAAGGTCAAGGACTTTCAGTCTGGAATTTTAAACACAGGAATTTTTTACACCTGTGGAACTACGATATTTATAATCTGATATTTATTAAGGAGGATGGCTACAAATCGAGATCAAGAAGGTTTGTCACTTTATGTTAATGATTAACCCCCTTCTTTCTGTTTTTCATGAAACCTGGTGTTGGTTCCATCTAACGTTAAACCGTTTTGTAAATATGAAATTCTAAGATATTGAAAATACTTTGAAATAATGACATCTTACATTACAAATTAATCCCCATCGAATGAATATTAAATATTAAGACGTTTTTCGCCTTTTTTGTGTCCCGATGCATTGCATCAATTTGTACTGCCATGAAAGATTTAAAAACAATACCGTACCGTTATTTATACGATAGGAATTTAAAAGGCCATTGATTATTCAAATTGTTCTTGTATTGAATTGGAAACAGGATAAAAATAATGAAGAGCATTTTTCATTTAATTTAAAGAGGTGAAAAAAATGTATATAATGCCAGACACCTTGGAGTGATTAATTCTATTCATTTCATTAACTGTAGACGAGTGTATTTTTAGACATAGATTCAGCTTGCTTCTTAAATTAGTTGACGGTGTAAAAAAAGATGTATTCATTCGTGTCATGTGACATTTTTTTATATACATTTTTAACTAATAAAATAAATTGCCGCATATGTGGTCTCTCTTACTCTCTCTCTCTCTTATGATCAAACAAGAGGCCCAGGGGCCACATCGCTCACCTGAGAATATCGGCTAGGAAAAAGCACATATCAGATCAGAACTGAAAGTTTACTGAGGTTTGGGGGGAGGGGGGGCGCTTGAATTTTAACCCCCCATGGAATCATAATTTGAACGAACTAGAATCTACACTACCTGAGGATGATTCCATATAAATATTACTAATCATGGTTTTGAAATACTTGAAAAGAAGATTTTAAAAGGTTGCCATATATATTCCTATGTAAACTTTGGTCGGCCATTTTTGCCCCACCCTAGCCCCGGGGGTCATGATTTGAACAAACTTGAATATACACTACCTGAGGATAATATCACATGAGTTTCATCTTTTCTGTCTCAATGGTTCTTGAGAAGAAGATTTTTAAAGATTTTTCCAATATATTCCTATGTAAAACTTTGATCTGCCATTTTGGCCCCACCCTAGCCCCGGGGTCATGATTTGAACAAACTTGAATCTACACTACCTGAGGATGATTCCACATGAGTTTCATCTTTCCTGGCCCAGTGGTTCTGGAGAAGAAGATTTTTAAAGATTTTTCCAATATATTCCTATGTAAAACTTTGATAGGCCATTTTAGCCCCACCCTACCCCCGGGGGTCATGATTTGAACAAACTTGAATTTACTCTACCTGAGGATAATTCCACACGAGTTTCATCTTTCCTGGCCCAGTGGTTCTTGAGAAGAAGATTTTTTGAAATGCCATTAATTTTTCTCTAATTCATAATTATCTCCCCTTGGAAGAAGGCGTGGCCATTCATTTGAACAAACTTGAATCCCCTTCACCCAAGGATACTTTGTGGCAAGTTTGGTTGAAATTGACCCAGCGGATCTTGAGAAGAAGATGAAAATGTGAAAAGTTTACGACGACGACGACAACGACAACAACAACGACAGACGACGGACAAATTTTGATCAGAAAAGCTCACTTGAGCCTTCGGGTGAGCTAAAAATGGAAACGAGTATATATTTATAAATCGGTGGCTGACTTCTTGTTGGGCTCCTTTTGGAATCTGAATCCTATTTTCAATTTTTTTTTTAAATTTGCGGAAAAAATTAAAGTATGCCCCCCCCCCTTTCGTTAGAAACGGGAATTGTTAATTCGGGCCTGTCCGACATTTTGTCTGTACAGTCAAGTTTCGGATAATATAAAAAGGCTTCAGCTGTTTTTCAATAAAGTCATTTTTTTAATAATCTTGGAGACTCGAATTGATGAGGAGGAAAAAAAGGTTACACACAATGGTCAGAAATCCATTAAAAAAAGAAATCACCGTGAAATCTTTTCTCAACCGCCTGAACAGTGTAGATCTTCCAGTGACTTATTCTTCTCAAGCGCGGGGTAGGGGGGTTAAAATAAACTTTATCTGTAGTTGTAATTAAAAAATATCGCTATAATCAAAAAGTTATCTCAGTTTTTATAAATCTTTAATTTTTTTCTATTCTTGAGGTATGATCTCGTTTTATCCCCCCTCCCCGCTGTTTTACTTTTAATATTTTCTTCATGAACTGATCTCATCCAGATAACATTACGTATCAATGACCAGTAAATTACACATTTCTATAATTAGCTTCTTATGAAACTTTTATTTTGAAAACATTGGATTGGATGTAACTCTTGGAATTTTAAAACATTGGAAGTTCAAAAGTACACTTGTAGCTTGATAACGCCAGTCTGACCAAGTTTGTTATTTTATTTTTCATCATTTGTAGGTGGAAGATTTCTTTTGCATTTATAATATATATTTAACAAAACTTAGTAGGTATATATTTATATTAAAGGCTTTTTGTACGGAAAAGGGAATGTTTTTTCTGAGAATACGAAGTTTTTTTTCACGGTGTAGATTTTCATGTGGATGCTCCTTAATTATCTCCTCACCCCTTCTTTAATGCTTAAGGTCTAACACTGATAAATTCTAGTATTTGTGGGGAAAAGTTCCAGAAATTAGAAGAAAAGGTGCGTGATTATTTAGCTAGTATTTTCATCAACCAAATGTAAATTAGAAATCGTAAAAATTCTAATTTTTAAAACACATTTTGTAATGATAAAAACCGGTACGACAAATTAAGATATTGTGACTTTTTTGCTCAATTAAAACGAAAACAAAAATTGAATACCACACAAAACACATACACGCATATTGTAAAAGTGCCAGGACTAAAGATTACTTGTGATATACACGTGTGTACTTAAATTCCCAAGAAAATTCAAACCTCTAAGAAAATCATATTTTAAGAGCACACGATTTAATTGATTTTTGCTTTAATGGTGTTTAGATTAGTTTAATTTTTACTATAAAAATTTACTATACTAAACCGGCGTAGAAATACATGTCAGTTATTATGACACATGCACTAAATCGTGTTAATAAATCAAAACGTCCTTGAACCGATGCATTAAGCAGGACAATTTTGTGAATGGCTAAAACGCTGTTTAAATAGCACTAAAAAGTAAACATACTTTTAGGACAATACGTCATGTGATAAAATTTAAGTAAATATTTGCAGGAGTTTAAAAAGGAAGCTAGCTAGATACATTATATTATATATACCTTAACCCGAAAATTTTCTGTTCCCAATCAAATATCAATATTGGTTTACTTCCTAACACTGTATTAGGTCAAGAGTGACCATTACAATGTACTCTCATATACTGTCCCCAGTCATAGATCAGTATACCAAACCAAGTTCAGTCTTACAGATCTATCATACCGGAATAAAGCCGTGTGATTTTTTAGAAGACGTGCAAACTGATCTTTGTGAATTTATGTATTGAGATACAAGGCTGGTCTTCTCTAAGTCATGTGAACGATTTATACGTATATCAAGTCAAGGTTGCAGGTTTAAAGCCTCATTCATTCTCAGCCCAGGTAAGAGATTATCCTTATATCAATATATTTTTTTCACCGTAAAGGATTAGATTCGATTTTAAACATTGGGGGGGATTAATTATTTTATTCATGAAGGAGCGCACAGCTCTGTATTGGGCGCAGTGTGTTTCCGATCTGCATGTTGTGCCTCTCGGTGTATATATAAAGTACTCTTCCTAACATTAAAAAATATTATCTACTTTTATAAGTTTCATGTCGTCTTATAATTTAATACATGTAACAGAGAAATAGAAAAGAGTATTAGTCAAAATGACCGATATTAGCTAAAGAAGGGTGAATTTATAGGACCCTAATTATAAGGAGGTATGTTTTCCCGTCGCTTTCCAAGAAGTTGACTTAGAGGTATCTAACGAATATTTTATTCAGTAGGACTAGTTTTTTTTCCGAATTGTAACATTATGGGGACACGATTAAAATTCGGGGTGGCACACCTTTAATCTTAAGACGATAAACACGGATATACGAGGCAAAGAGATACCGCGGTACATGGGCATCTTGGAAGATAAAAAGCTTCCGTTGGGATTATTTTAAGATGCATGCATGGGGAAGTAGATTTAAGCAAAGAAAGGACTTATCTGTACGACAAAGTTGAAAGAAAACATCAAATAATATACTTACTAGAGCACATTTTAACTTCATCTATTGCTCATTGTAACATGTAATTTAAAATGTTGTTCGCGTTACAAACAGCTACAGAAACATGATTGTGGTCTTTGAAAGACAGATAAATTGATTTATGTCCACTGTACAGCCCAGACGTTGTCCTCTGTTTGACTGTGCATTATCCATAATTTACACTGCATACATGTATATACATGTACATGTATCGATAAAATATAAAAACAGATTTTCTTTCAGGCATTTAATGACTAAAACATACTTTTCAAATCTCTGGTCCATTAGTTGCATACTTTAAAAAGTAAAGATAAAATTAAAATTTGACAAAAAACTATCTGATTGAAATTTAAAACTTTAGTGACTTCAAGTTACTGCTTTCTAACGAGGCAACGGAATAAAATATTTACGTGTTCATTTTCCGAAAATTCTCATGTTAGACATTAGCATATGATATGAATTTCAGCAATTTTACTTTAGATCTTGGTGGGATATGTTATCCCTACTAATAGGTTTTTATTTCACAATTTAGATTTTTGATATTTGTTTCTTTAAAAAACTATTCGTCGATGCAGAAAAATTAAATTTTTTATTTTGTATTTTTAAATGTTACCCAATAAAATCCAAGTTTTACAAGATGACAATTAACCTCTTTAGTTTTGTCGTTTAATAAAACACTTGAAACATAAAAAAAATTGCTTAATATAATGAATGATGGGAGTCGTTGATACTAAAATGATTATTAAAACATTGAGGTATTTTTGTCCTGTGCTCTTAAAGAATAATAAATCCTTCAAAGTAATTAATTTATGAACAGACTGAAACCTTAGCTTAGCTCTGCTACACAAACATGTATGTAATTATTTGTCCATGACATTACTGTTCTCCAAACTTGTTAAACATTGTGAGGTATTCTCATAGGTGGCATATCATTGTAGTTGTAGGAATGTCAGACAAATTTTGCCCGAGTCATCCGTGTCTCTCCCGTCGTTTTCCGGATTGGGGCATTATCAATTTTGAGAAAAATAATTAAAAAACAATTAAAAGAGGATTTAAGGATCTGATATTTGCCCGACATGTTATGTAAACTGTCCGAGTGTTACAAGATCATGAGGCCATCGACAACATATCTATCACTCGCTAATTATGTATGTATACAAGATAGGGCTTCTCTCGTGAAAAAATATATACTAATTTGTCATGAATTATATTCCGATTCGTTTTTTTTTTCTATAGCAATGGACGAGGACAAAAGTCCGGCACCGAAGAATTACCAGGAATATTTGATGGTATAGTTTTTTTTTAAATATCTATTTCTTAATCATTATTATTTTGTTATATAATTTATAACCAATACATGTATCGTTTTTTTTTTCTTTTAACTGATTATCTTCAATAACTTTGTAAATATGGTTGATTTTACGATGTAAACTGCTGAGCTTGAATCTCCGTTTCGGGGGAAATAAAGAATGAAATAATGTATTTAAGGAATGAAGCCGCAGTATTCTTTTTTTAATTTTAACTCTTCGTATAATTTAAATGTTTTAAAAAATATCAGCAACATTGTTAATTACAGCTGCAAAACTTGCTGAAATGTCAAGTTTTACAAAGCGAGAAGGCAGGAAAACCAGTCCATGACGAGCACCTCTTTATCATCACACATCAAGGTAGGTAAAAAAAAAAGCTGGCTCTACAGTTGTGTTTAAAGGGAACCAATATTCATATC